GAAGTTGCAAAAAAAAAAAAAAAAGTATGAAACTGCCTGATTCTAACTACAGAATTTTGCTGCTTACTCTTCGTCTGGGTTGGGGGAAGCCATCTCTGTGTCGTCGTCTTGTTCGGGAACGTGCTTGGATTCCCTGTCCTTTATTAAGTGGGTCAAAGGACTCTATAATATAATCAACAAAAAGCAGAGTATGTGGTAAGTATCTCACAGATTAAATAAAGACAGACTGAGTAATCATCACTACTTCATTGTTATGCAATGAGAATTTTACTCGTACATTTAAGAGATAGTAACGATATAGCATGTAAGTTTATTAGAAATCAAGAACACTTTTTATAAATGGTCACTGCAGCAAAGGCAACAAAAAATGCTCAAAACCTACATAACCATGTAAAAGAACAGTGTGACACAAACTACATCCAGCAAAGCAGAAATACTGTGTCCTACATTATCTCCAACACACTACAATTGCTTAATGTCAATCTGGAGCCTTGCCATTCCTCTAACATTAAGGACTTTTGATAAACAAGGACATGGAGCACAGACCTGAAGGATAATCGGCTTCTAGATCCTGTTCCGTCTCCCCCCTTGAGAACTGCTTTAGCTCTGCATCAACCTCCTGCACGGCACTGGACTTTAAGGCATAATGATTCAGCTCCTCCTCCCAGCTATGTGGGGTGGACACTGCCTCTGACTCCAGATCCCCACTGTATGTGCTGCCTTGGTCTGCGATACATGAAAGTCGTCAGAACAAGACACGTTCTCGTTGTCTTCACAGACATTCCCGACCCTGAGATGCGACGATGGACGTACGGGAACGCATATCTTGCTATCAGACTCACAGAACCAGAGTCACAGTTTGTCGCTGCTGCTGTTTGGAGACAGGCTCTCATTATGCAGTTGAGGCTGGCCCTCAACTCACTTTATAAGCCAGGCTGCTCTCAATTCACAATGATCCTCCTGCCCCAGCCTCCCGAGTGCTGGGATTAGAGGCATCAACCTCTATACCCGGCTTAGGCTAACATTGGTAAGCACTTTAAAACATTCTTTCAATTAACTTTTACATATATGACAGCTTTTAATACCGTCATTACAAAACAGCATATATCACAGCCATTTGATAACCCTTACAAATATCTAAAAATATACATATTAGACTCAAGAATACTAACTCACCATTGATTTCCATTGCTTACAGAATATAACATTT